TCGACAGGGACAAGAAAATCGCGGCAATTAATGAATCGAACGCGAAGTGTCAGGCCATCACCGCACCAATTAAGACCCAAGGGGTGGTTACAGGAGTGAATAATTACAGTACGCACGCGGATGACCGCTACGAACTATAAATACCGTGCAATCTGTGCATGTTTCACCCCTATGTGCGCATGACTCAGGCTATTGTACTAGTACCTATGATTAAGGATTCCTGACGGAATCCGAAACGTCAGGAAAATAAAACTCTTGTTCCAGTTGTCGCATCTTCTCCTTTTGAAGTTTAAAAAAGGCATAGACGGCAGAATTTATTAGTACCAGTAAAGCTCGTCCTCTTGAGTCCGATTACAAGAATTCCAGTAAAACGGGCAAAGTTTCCCTTGCCATTGCATGCCACCTCAAATTGTGTATGCGAATTCACATGAACTTGTGGATGCAAGTACATTGGGCGCACGCAAAGGCAACTGGCAGCCAGGGCCCCTGAACACTTGCCCAGCTGGCTGTTCAAGCAAGAAGACAGAGTACCACGGTCCTCTATTACTAAACATTTGCTTGACAGCGGTCATTCAGTTGACGTCAAGACAGCATTTCGAGTACTTGTTAGGGCCCGAACAATTCGAATGTTGCATTACTTGGAAGCTGCATACATACGACGGGAGGAACCTGACCTTTGCAAGCAGCTTGATCACGTGGTCAACCTCAAATTACCCTGGTAATTGGTTACTTAGTTTTAATCCCCAAGTGATTTTCGTTTACTCCCCCATCCCCCTTCCTTCCCCGTAGGTTGACTAGTGCTGTGTCCTTTACCGGATGATTATTTAAACCGAACTATGATCTTTGCTGTTATGTCATCTACTCTGCGAAATTTCAAACGGTTGCACGTCCTCTTCGTTATCATACTTACGCAGCGACAAAACGCAGCTGAAGAGCTGTCACAAAATTTACTGGTACCAATAAATTGTGCCGTCTATGCCTGTTTTAAATTTGTACCGGGGAACAAATGCTTTAGATTCCTTTTTAAGTGCTTCCTGGAACTCGCATATTCACTTCTTTCGGCAAAATTAATTAACTGATGGTTCATTCAATTGAACAAATTGTGAAAATTCGTGGCCTCGGCAGGCTTCGAACCCACATCAGCAGGGAAGGCTTTAGCAGAGCCAACGCTCTACAACTGAGCTACGAAGGCATGCCGAAGGTTTGAATTCGATCACACCTGAGTCGATTTATCCGCCCAGCCTACAGCTCGTGTGACAATCCACCACTACGGATACAGTGAGCCGACTACCAGGCCGATTTTCCAAAACAATCATTAAGCAGATTGACTACTAGGCTCAATTAATTACTAGGGGGACTTTGCAGATTTGACTAATCGTGTTGGCCCAATTGCGAAAATTTGTAGCCTTGGTGGGCTTCGAATCCACATCAACAGGGAAGGCTTTAGTGCAGCCAACGTTCTACAATCAAGCGTGCCCTCGCAGCTCAATGGTAGAGCGCTGGCTGTACTGAAGCCTTCTCTGCTAATGTGAGTTCGAATCGCACCGAGGCCACAAATTTTTACAATTTTGTCAGCTTAATTATTCACATCTGTCCAACCCTCCTAATAACTGATGATAACTATTAGTGCATTATGATTAGGGCATGGCTACTCATGCACACAAAACATTCAATCGAGACAGTCCCGCTGTTTTTATCCTCCTTCCACTGTCGGAACTTCTACAGTTTGAAGGGAGGCACAAAACCGAGTCAGACCTCGAAAGAAAGCGGAAAGGTAAAAAATACCCTCACAACCTTTGCAGTCAACCTGCTTTCCGAAAACTCATCGGAGCCCGGGGGTCTGTGAAAGGATTTTGATTAAAAAGAGCAAGCGGACAGCTTAGCATAAGTGGCATTGAGAAAGTACCTCGGTGTGGATGAAGGCATCCTAAAGGAAACTACGAATGAAATCCCTAGTTCTGCCGCAGCAGTTATTGAAGTCAGTGCAACTTGACCTTTGTGTACAAGTCCGCTAATTCTCACTTCTAGATTCCTCACACACGGCAGCAATGGATTCAACACGCCATGGAACTTATGCCTAGTAATTATTACTCGCTTCGGCTTAGAGCATGGAGCACACAGAATGGGGGAGATGGGAAGAACTGTCTTGTTTGCAATTCGGTGAGTTCAGAATACCTA